TGATTTGCTTAGGACTTCCATTGCGGTTTCATAAAAAGTTTAAAACAAGTCAGTCCACGGATCAGATGGATGCATTTTATTTATCCTCACCATCACAATCAATAGCATTTACAGATGCTGAGGAATAGAAATCACTAGACACAGTTTGCTTCTGAGTTTGCCCAACTGTGAATACGAAAGGATTTGCCTTCTCTTTGCCGGGATTTTTTTGTTTGTTTTTTAAGCACCGGAAATAAAGTCCAGGATAATTTGATAAGACAGGTTTTTGAGTTTTTATGTTGCCGCAAGTTATCTGACTACATTTTAGAGGGTGGAGCCTTGTGTAAAAAAACAAATGAAACATCCATTTTCTTTCCGCAGAAATTTTGAGAATTCCCATTTTTACTGACACTACACATCTTGACTGGTTCCAGTTTTTTGGTAAAGACGTAATACAAAATATAACAGCTCAGAAGGCAAAGACAACATTGCAGAATCTCAAATAGCGCTTAGAGTTAAGTACTGAGAATTGTTCAAAGAATTTTAAAAAAGCCTGGCTTGGGGGGAGGGTGTCCTGTGACAGTTTAATCTGCCCCCACTGCATGGCATGCTGGGAACCAGAGCCCCACACAAGGTTAATAAAAATGCACTTTAATTTGACAAAACGATTTATCCATCTCGAACTATTCCTCAATAAAGAAATTTAAAGAGACTGAAAAATATGAAGCATTATCTGCTGGAATGCACTGCGAAGCTAGAAATATTTCTGAGTTCAAAAAGCTTTCTGACACCTTCTTCTTTTTTTAAAAGATAGTGCAGAAAATGTGGCATTTCTTTCCATCTGATTCCTGTCTGCACAAAGACCCAGCTCTGGGCCCAGCACACAGTAGGTCTGCAGCAGGTTTTGGAGAACACAGCTGGAAGTATTGTGGTATTTAGCGCCATATTTGTGAACTTGCACTTTCCCCTTTTATATTTTCATATGTTAAGCACCTGCACCCCCCCTCCCCTCCATTTTGGGGAAGGGAGTGACTTTTATTCTAAACAAAGCCTTGGTAGATGAGAGTATGGTGTGTGTGTGTGTGTGTGTGTGTGTGTGTGTGTGTGTGCGCGCGCCCGCGCGCGCGTGCAGTAACCTCAGAAGGGTCTTGGATCGTCGGCCTGCCAGGGGTCCTGGGGAGGGTAACAGGGCCGGGGCTGGGGCCCGAGCTCCGCCACTCGCTCCGCCTGCCTGTTGTCTGGGCATCAAGCGAGTGGGGAAACATTAGCGCGGGCCAGCTGCCGAAGCCGGGCGGGGTCGAGGGAGAGGTCAAGGTCGGCGGAGAGGCGGCTATTGATCCGGCTTGGAACGCGAGACAGGGAGCCCAGCAAGACTAAAGGGGGAGCTGTGAGACCAGACATTAACAGCTTTCAGCGCTAATGATGCCCGTGCCAGACGGGCAGAGGGAAAAAAAGGAGACTGGAGCGGCAGCTGGGATCGCTCGTTGCTTGCGCCCGGCCGCCTCTCCCGAGAGGAGGAGGAGGAGGAAGGCGAAGGGGCCAGCGCGGGGCCGGGCAGGGGCAGGGCAGCCTCTCCCCGGCCGCCGCGAGGTGGAGCGCGCCGGCGGGCGGCGGCGTGTCCAGCCCTGCGCCGGCCCGCCCGCGCGTCCTTCTTCCCGCCGTCGGGGCAGCGCGGGGCCAATGAGGAAGTGCTCCCCGGGTCAGTCGCGGCCCGCGCCGCCCCTCGCCCGCTACTTCCTGCTGGGGGTGGGGCGGGGTGCCCCCTCCCCAGACGCCGCCGCCCGAGCGCGCGCGACTTGGCAGCTGCCGCTGCGCGCCCCCCGCCCCAACCTCCGACCCCGGATGCCTCCGACCCCGCAGTCCACAGGGGGCGGGGGGGCCCTTTCTTGAAGGGGGACTACTCAGTCCCTCCCTCACTGCCCGCAGACCCGAGTCCCCATCCTTGCAATCAGCCCCCGGAGAGCGAGGGTCAGCGTGCTGGGATTTCGGGCACCGGGGCGCAGGCGGCGCGGAACCGCCGGCGATTTGAGTCCAGACCTGCCTGCGTGCGCTGTGTGACCTTGGGCCACGCGCTCACCCTCTCTGGACTTCACACAGCCAGTTCTCAGCAAAAAAAAGAAAGCTCTCCCAAGTTTAAGAATGTGGGCGAGTTGGGATGGCCGGTGTATGGTATTCTTGAGAAGTTTATTAAAGGTGCGTGTCGGCATTTTTTTTTTTTTCTTTTTACTTAGGCCACTTTCCTGGAAAGATTTTCGTGGTGGGGCTGGAGGAGAGGGAGGTGCTTCCAGAGTTTTGACCACGTGGAGGTGGGGTGTCGGTGGTGGGTGGTGGGCGTGCAGTCCCGGGTGGGGAGGTCGTGCGGACTGGCTCTTCGCTCGCCCCCCTTCATCCCCCTCCGCCCAGTCTCTACCAGCTCGTCCCCCGACCCTGCAGCCCGGTCCACAAAACTGCCTGCTAGAACATATTTTATTATTAATTTTTAGTGGGGGGTGGCTTGGGCAGGGAGCTCTTTCTGTCCTCGCTAATGGACGCTGCGCTCTGGTAAGTTGTTGGTGCCGTCGCCCCACCCAAGACCTTGGGGGTGAACAACGCCCCCACCTCCGTCCCCGCCCCGTACCCCTCCAAGGAAAAGGCCCCGAGGGTGGCGGCGCGCCCGGAGGCGTCACGGCCCAGCCTTGCGCTCCCAGGAGGCCGCCAGAGCCCGGCCTGGGGGCGGGGTGGGGTGGGTGCAGCTGGGCTCGCCCGCGAAGCCCAGCCCCGAGCCAGGCCCCGACCCGCCCTGGCTGCCTCCCGGCCCAGACCCGAGAAACCCTGGGAAGGGCGAGGGGGCCGGCCGCGTGGCGCGTCCAGCTGGGAGGTCAAGTCGCGAAACGGATGAATTTGGCCGCAGCCGGAGGAGGGACGGGGGGTTGCGGGGGGGTGTGGATGTCCACGCGGACCGCGTCCTGGCCTTGTCCCCGGGCCACGGACAGGCCCCCACACCTCCTCTCAGCCTCGCCGGCTGGAGATCAAACGGCTGACAAGGCAGCTGTGTCCTTCCTTTCCAGACTGACGGGCGATTTCAAGTCCTGCCCTGGGCGGAGGAGCCCTGGCGTTACTTCCAGGCTGCAGTAATTGTCAAGGGGTGGGAGGGGACTGGGGGACCCGAGGGGGTCACCCACGCGAGTGTGTCCAAAGATCCGGCCACACCTACTTCTGGGTCGGCAAGTATGAGACGCTCTCCCACGTGGAGCACCACTGCCCTTCACCCCCATGCTTCCGAGAAACCTCGGCATTAGGGGTGGGCTCCGTGTTTGACCCCCAGACTGAATGGGTCACCGCTAGTGACCTCCAGGGAGCGCAAAGATTTCGGGTGGACATGCCTTCCGGAATGGGACTCCAACAAGGTCTCACGTTTCCCCGCCCCCCAGTGTGCCCCGAATTCTCTCCTCTTAGTATCTTTTATTTTGTCCCCGTGGCTCTCCCACAGTTTGAAATGTCAGGATTTATATGGAGACACTTTTTAAAAGTTTAACCCCGACCCCTCAATAAAATCAAAGGGAAAACAACCAAGCTACTTTCCTAGGGAGACGGAGCAATTGACCATGTGCCCCCAGTTCCCTTGTCGACCCCAACACTCTTTCATAGCCACCCCGCCCCCAAGAGCTTTCGAATGAGTGGGTGGGGACTTGCGTTGCATCAACTTACTTCCACGCACACCGCACTCCGCCCCCCTTCTCTGGGGGTCCAGCTCCCTAGAGGGGAGGAGGGATGGAGAGGATTTTCTTTTTTAAAAAATATCTTGCCCACGGCCCTCCCTCCCTCCCCCCATTTTGCGCTGCCAGTGCACGGGGAGAAGAGGAGCGCACACAAAAAAACGCTGCACGTGTGGCCGGCCTGAACTGCGGGTGTGCGCACGGGCGAGAGTGTGTGTGTGTGTGCGCGCGCGCGCGAGTGTGCCTCTGTGTGTGTGCTTTCTTGTTCTCTTACAGGGTACAATGTTAAAAAGCCACCGCTAGTCGCCCCCAGTGCTCCGACTCTCTGGGTCTTTTTGTCTCTAGTGCAGATTAAACGTCACGTCCGCACTTGAACTTGAATTTTATCCCATTGTACAGAGGCAGCCCCAGCCATAGAGAGACCGAGAGCTCCCAGAGAACCCGGACTCCGCCATCTTCACGTTGCAATCTATAGCTCCCAGTCCGCGCCCGCACCGACCCAGGCGCACTGGGCGAGCCGCCCCGCAGCCCAGCTCCCCCCGGGCCAGCGGCTCCAGGGGAGCGCTGGGGAGCGCTCGCGGGGACCCGGCAGCCTCTCCGGCCGGCGCCAGCCTGCCAGGTGGACTGGGAAGGAGCCGCTCCTGGAGTCCCCCCAGAGCCTCGGAAGGGTCAGTCTCCGAGAAAAAAACAGGCAGCCCGCAGAAAACCCAGAAACCACCGAACCGGGGCAGTTTTTACATTGCTTTGGGTTTTTTGAGGGGGCGGGGTGAGGGGGTACGAGACAAGTCCTTAAGTTTTCTTGGCTGGTTTTTTTTTTTCTTTTCTTTTTCTTCTTTTATTTTTTATTTGTTTGCATTTTCCCCCCTTCCCCCTCCCCCCTCCTGGTAGAAGTGCGCTTTCCACCTACCAGACCCTGAAAGAAAGTGTCAGGAGCCGGTGCAAAATCCGATTTAAGTTCAAGGAGACATTTGGAAGTCCAGGAGGCCAAGCAGTTTGAAGAAGTGTATGCAATTTTTTTTTTCCTTGAAAAGAATATATTTTTGAAGAAGCCAGCCAGTCCGCGGCAAGCAGCAGCAGATTTTTTTTTTTTTGCCTTTCTCCTATTTTAGATCGAGAGGTTTTGCTTTTTCTTTTTCCTTCTCTTTTTCTTTTTGCAAACAAAAGAAAAAACAGCATAGAAGAAAGCGCAAAATAAAGAAGAAGAAGAGGAGGAAGAGAGGGCAAGAGAGGAAGGAAAAAAAAAAAACCAACCAAAACACCAACCCGGGCAGAGGAGGAGGCGCGGCGGCGGGAGCGGCGCGGCGGCAGCGGCGGCGGCTCCGGACCCCCTCCCCCGGCTCCCCCCCATCGGTCCAGCTCTCCGGGCGATGTCAGAATAGATGCCGGGGCAATGTCCCGCCGCAAACAGGGCAACCCGCAGCACTTGTCCCAGAGGGAGATCATCACCCGTAAGTGTCTGCGGCGTGCGCGCGAGGGGCCGGAGCGTGGGGCTCCGGGCACCCAGGGCTGGGGACACCGAGCCGGGTGCAGCCGGGCCGGGTGCCCGGGCGGCCCGCGGGCTCGCACCGGGGCAGCGGCGTCGGCCCAGAGCCTGGTTGCGGGGGGCGGCAGGAGGGCCTTAGGAAAGTTTCTTTGCAGTCCGATGCGCCCGGGGCTCGGGGGCCTCGGAGCGGGCTCCGGGGCCGGGGAGGGGGCGCGCAGGCTGGAGGAGGTGTGTGTGTGTGCGCGCGGAGCCCGGCTGGACGCTCGCCCCTCCGAGCGGCGTGTGTGGCGGCGGCGGCGCTGGTGGCGGGGTTTGGAGAGGCGGGGGGAACGGGAAGTGGGGAAAAGTTGGCGAGCGCGTGGGTCCGCGCTGACGGCGCAGGCGGAGGGGAGCGGGGTGCGCTCGGGCCTGGGGGAGACGCGGGGCGAGGGGCGGCCGCCGGCTCCGAGTTCCCCCAGTCGCGGCACCCGGCCGTGCAGGGCGCCGGCCACGCCGGTCCTCGGATTCCGCTGCCGCCTTTCTCTCCCTTCCTCGTGCTATTTGCAAAAGAATCCAGCTGCGCGGCTGTTTGCCGGGCTCCTGCACCCCCACCCCCATTTCCCCACCTCCGTCTGTCTCCTGGGATGCTCTTGTCTTCTTTCCCCCCCACTCCAAAAAATAAAAAGGTGGGGGACATCGGGGGCTGGTGAAAAATCCTCGCCACGGCGGGGGGTGGGGTGGGGGGGAAAGGGTTGTCAGCTTGGAGTGGGAAGAGAGGAACGTGCTTGTAAAATAGTGGGGAAAAAAAAGAAAGAAAAGAGGAAAAAAAGGGAAAGAGACCTATCCATCTCTTACCCATCTGCCTATCTCAGATCTTTCATCTTCCCCTATCTAAATAAACAAGGCAGGGTCGCAGTGGAAATCCACCGGCTGAAATCGTGTGGATTTCAAGCAAGTGGCGGGGAAGGCAAAGTCAGGCAACGGGGCAGAGACGCAGCCGCTTCCAGCGCCCGGGTCGGGTTTATTTAGCGAAGGGAAGAAGCCTGCGGGAGCGGGCCAGGTACCGGGTTGGCAGGAGAGCTCGCCCGGGTGCCTCCACACTTGCACCGGGAAGGTCGGCTCGCCGCGCTCCCTGCCAGCCGCAGCCCGCGGGGCTGCTGCTCCTCCGTGCGCAAACCTTTCCCCGCGGTCCTTTCTCTCGCGGTGCCGGAGTCGCCGTTGCTTTTTCTTTTTCTTTTTTTAAAATTTTTCTTTTAAATTGCAATAGAAATAAAACATCCTCTGGGTGCCATCGAAACCGCGGGCAGGTTGTGTTCCTTGCCATCCTCCGATCACCTTGTCAGGCTAGGGCCCGGCTGCCGGCGCGGAGCTGGAGAGGGCTGTGCGCCCCTCCGCCGCCGAGGACTGGCTGCGCGGCGGCCGAGAGCCGAATATTTATGTTATATTTTAACAAATTTAAATAAATAAATAAATATATAAAGGGGTTCTCCCCTCCCCTGAAAACCCAGCATAGGAGCCATCTGCTCGGAGCCTTCGCTGCTGCCATCTCTTCTTTGTTACAGCAGATACATTAGTAAGAATTTGTGGATTTATGATTATTTTTTGGGGAGGGGAATAGATATGAAAGTGGGCTTGCCTTGGGAGAGGGACGCCTTTCTGGAGGGAGGGAAGAGGGCTTCTCTGATATTTTTCACTATTGTAACATCAAAGAAGACTTGCTGGTTGCATTTAAAACAAAATGTTTTGCAACCAGATTTGAGCCTGGTTTGATCAAGGTCCTTTTCGCCCGTTGACATTTAGCCCTTTATCGAGCCTTTAGCAATCTCTTATTCTACACCCCCACTCCCCACTTTAGATGGTGGAGCGGCTGTTAGAATGTCTGTAGTTGCAGACACCTAATTTCTCCAGGAGGCAATTTGCCCCACAGAGCCCCTGTATAATTGCAAGGGTTGCTTTTGAGGAGGGGGAAGTTGGGGGGGGTGCTCTGGGAAGGGGGAGTTATGGGGGGGTGCATTGCCAAGCTGGCAGCAGCGAAGGAGCCAGGAGTGTTTGCACTTGTGTGTAAACGGGGAAAGAAGCAGGTAGGTTTGCTTTGCTTTTGCCCTCTCCCCGTCTGGCATTCCTGGGACCTCGGGAACAAGCCCTGGCCGGGAGCATGGGTGGTGGCTGGGCGGCGTAGGGGGCCAGGGGTGCCTGGTGCGACATCCTTCCCTCCTTCGTTGGGTCCGTGGCTGTCTCAGCCTTGCTCAGAGCAGGGCTGGGAAGAACCTGGCTGACACTGGGGCAGGGGCTGGGAAGAAGAGATGGGGAGAAGGAGACCAGGGGGTGGGGGGCCAAGGATATCCTGCCTGCTCTTCAGGGGCCTATGGAGCCCAGGGCATGTGCAGAGGTTTAAGAAGGGAGAGTGGTCCAACCAGTTCTCAGACAAGGCTATTTATTATCCCCAAAGCAGCTGGCTTTTCTGTCTGTCCTGTGTCACCCTGGAGGTGGGACTGCAGGCAGGGGGAAAGGCAAGAATGGGATGCAGTTTAGGCTTAGGGCCTGTACAAATGTGTCTCTCCTCCTCAACGATGCAGGAGTCGTGGGTCTCAGGTGCTCTGGAACCCTGGCCAGCCAAAGGGGTGCTGTCACAGCCCTGATCGGGGACCCATGTTTTAGCTTTTAAATGAGAAAGAAACTACCTAAAGCATGGTACATCTTCAGTTGGGTGGCAGCCCGCTGGCTTCAGGTTCTTTTGAGATGATGCAACTTGGGATAACTGATGGTCTGAGACATAGAAGAGCACACAAACCGCATCAACAGTCTTGGGGGTGGGGGTGGGGGGCTGGCAAGGCGGAGAAGGACTCCACAATGAGCTGGTTAAATTTACAGACAGGGCCAGAGAGGAGAGTGCGGGAGGAGAGTGTGGGAGACAGCTGGGGATGAAGACCTAGGCTTCTGGTTTGTTTCAAAATGTTTGACCCAGATGGATATGGCTTTCAAAGCCGGAGGACAGACACAGCTATTAATAAAAACAAACGCAAAACAGCCCAGTGACAATAGTGAAGAGGGGAGGATTAGGGACAGTGGACTGACCAGGCAGAGAGGGAAGGGCTGTGAGCCGACTGTGCCAGGCAGTGTGAATGGAAAGGCAGAGGAACCCCAGCCTGAGACTTCCCGGAGGAAATAACAAGCCCGGGGTAGATAACTCAACTCCAGTGCAGGCGATTTTATTTTTCAACAACCTCCCCAACAGGTTTCCTTGGAAGATTAGTAATTTTCCGTACGAGTTCACGATTTTGCAAAACAACTAGAGAGACCCAAGATTTGATGCAGAAGTTAGGCTCACCGTGTTAATTCCATGGTTGCCTTTTAAATTAGGTTTTGTTGTAGCTGTATGTTTTGAAGGCCGCTGTGCTTACAATTATCTTAACTCCCCAGGGTAGAGTGTATCTCCAGGTGTCCACTTATCTTTCAAAATTGGGCCTCTGATAAATTTCATCAGATCTGGGCCCCTCTGTTTTTTTGATAATTCTGGGAGGGGGGAGTGAAGTTTGTCCCCCTTCTGCACAGAAGGGAACCCCATATCATTAGAAGTGTGACATAAGTCAGCTGCTCTGATTCTAAGGGAGAGTAAAACTGTGTTCATCCAAGGTGTTATGCCAGGCTGATTTTATTCATTTGTAATTCACACCTGAGAGAAGACAGCCATGAGCATATTTTAACAACCCCTAGTATTTTTAAAGGGTAGTCTTTCTCTCCCTGAAAATTGTGTACAGTGGCATATTTCTTTCTTTCTTTTTTTTTTTGAGGGTGGGAGATGGGGGGGGGTGCCCTCTGTGTGTGCTTTGGCCTTGGCGATTTTTGTCTGGCCTTCAAAATATGTCGTAACAGGAAAGCAAGTCATTTCTGAAACGCCGGAGTGAAGACAGTTGCTTTGGGGAAGCCGGCCTTAGGAACGTGGAGAGCTGAGGTTAGATTGGGTGGGATGCTTTGATGGCCACTGTGCAGGGCCTCTGGGTCTTAGGGTTCCAAAGGGCAGGCCAGCTTTGGGTGCACTGGGCAATAATCAGCCTTCTGTCTCAGGGGAACGGGAAGCAGGCAGAGCAGTTGTGTTCCCACATACAGTTCCCCGCTGCAGAACACACCAGTTTCTAGCTCCTTATCAGAATCGAGCTCTTGGCGCTTGCCTTTGGGCTCAGAACACGGCTTGCCCTCACCTTCCCTTTTTCCTTTTCATCTCCTTTCTCAGATCGCTTTGCATTCTCTGTTGCTTGTTGTGATAAAAGACTTTCCAAAATAAACTTTCAGTTGAATTGGCTTTTGGTGGATGGCAGGGCTGCAACGCCCAGAGGTGCCTGGCGCCACTTGGCAGCTAGGGGGAGCTCGGTGCCCGTGTCATGCGTGGAGCCGGCGCCGCGAGGGGCCGGACCGGGCTTCCATCAGCCGCGAGAGCCGTTTACGTTGCTGCAAAATGTCTTAAGTGTGAAGTTGTAATATTGATTTTCCTGCAGAGAGTCGAGCAGGACAAAATGAGAATATAAGTTTGAGAAATCTATTTTCAAGCTATCGGCATTGATTTACAAGCCTTCGCTAGGCAGATGGGGGGACAGTTTTTCTTTTTAATTTTTTTTTTTTTGAAAACAATTGCAATGCTTAGTTTTGAACGAGTGTGTTTCCTCTGGTTCGTCTGTGGTCTTGACTTTCTGAATTCCATTGGGTCGCCGAGGCACACGGGATGGAGCGTGTGGGGGGGTCTGGGAAACGTGAACCTCGTTTTGTCCGTTTCTGTGTTGTATGTCACAGACCCTGGGATCTGCCGCTGCCGTGGGGAGTCATGTGTCTAAAACAGCTTGATGAATGGAAATCCTTTCAGCTCAGATTTTATAACACTCGGATTCTCAATTCCATTTATTAGGTAATGTTCCCACTGTACTAAGGGGAAAAGCATCAGTCCCCAAAGAGATAAAATGCCAACTCAAATAACATGTAAAACTTTGTTTGAGA